ATAATGAATGATTTAGGATGCTACTACTGTTTATTGTTCGACATAAGCCATTGGATAGGATAAGATTTTCCAGAATACACATTTTCTCTTCCATTACCCAACAATTTAGTGCACAGCAGCTTAAAGAGTTTTTTTGGACTTGTCTGGAATTTTTTGTAATATAAATTGATTTTTTTGTTGTTTAAAAGTTTAAAACTTTTTGATATTGCGCTTTTCTAGAGCAAAAAAATGTTTCAAATGTTTTTTTTAATAAAAGTTTTACTGGATCATTTGAAGACTACAATTGCACCTGAAAAAAATTAAAATAAATAAATAAATAAAAGTTTTACATGACAAAACATGGTGGTGTATTAACAAGACATGAATGGCAGTTACTGGTGGTACTTTTGACCTCTACATCTCAATATTAGATTCTGTTGAAGTCTATATACAGTTTAAACAGTTTGGAGTTGGTAAGATCAAAACAAATAATTATTATTATTTTATTCAGCAAGGATGCATTCAACTGATCAGACATGACAGTATAGACATTTATAATGATTCAGAAGATTTCAGTTTCAAATAAGTACTGTTCTTTTGAACTTTTGAACCACAAAAATATTAACCTGCACAACTATTTTTAACTTTGATAATAATACGAAATGTTTATTGAGCACTAAATCAGCATATTAGATGGATCATGTGACACTGAAGACTGATTAAATGGAAATTCAGCTTTGCTGTCACAGGAATAAATTACTATATTCAAAAAGAAAACAGTTGTTTTTAAATTGTAATAATATTTCACAATATTACTGTTTTACTGTATTTTTTATCAAATACATGCAACCTTAGTGAACAGAAGTGCTTCTTACAAAAAAAAATTAAATCTCAAAAACTTTTGAACAGTTGTGTAGGCTACATTTATTTGCACATCTAAGATATACGGCACAAAACACACAAAGTCATTCTTTGTCGATTTTGTCAATATTTTTTTTTACTGTTTATCAGTTCCAGCTGTTTAGCCAAGCTCAAACTGTTTAAATGAAGAAAAACAAAATCTAATCAAATACAATCATGTTGTTCTTTTTTTGCTGTGCACCTTACAGAATTGGCCGAAATCACGAACTTTCAATGTGTGTCATGCATGGCACACATGCAGCTGTGACACACATGCTGGCACTAACAGGTGCCAAAAAAAAAAAAGTCAGGAATAACAAGCCCAGAACCCAAGCCAATACTTTCAAATTGTTCACTCTACAGCATGAGAAAATGACAGGTTTGATTAAGCTACAGTTTGTTTTTTATAACAATTACTTTAACCAGCACTATTCTAAGTTGTTACGGCAGTTTTGTGAAAACTGATGTAAAAATCACTGATTTTGTATACACAAAATATAATATATGCAGTGATTGCAAATTTACCATGACATTAAAAAGAGGTGAGAACCAGGCAAACCTCAGCTTTTTTCCCCATAAATGAACTAAGTGAACCAGCGACCTTTTGACCTTATTGTCCTTTGTTCAGTAAACTCCAGTGAACACACGCCATCTAGTGGTGACAGTGTGTAACAACACTCACATAAGCAACAGGCATAAACAACAACATATTAAAAGTGAACTTCATGTTAATTTAATAATGATGTTGATGAGATGATGATGTGTTTTTGTGTGATAATCACACAAAATAGTGTGCTCTTTATTATTCCAACCACAAAATTATAAAAAAAAAATACCAAGATAAATAAGGAAAAGGGCAAAACTAAGACTTGTTGCAATGTTATGATATTTGTGAGAGTTCAATGGTCCTTTTGAATGAAATATTTTTATGTTTCTTACAAATTTGTCACCACCGCCAGTTTTGTGTCAACACCGTTGATGCCTTGTCAACTCCGTCAGATTGATAAATTGTTGTTATTGTTTTTAAAGACGAGCTGTATTCTTCCCTCGAGAATATTTGTTAATAAAATGGTTGCATTTTCAAAGTTATTGTGTAATTTGTATGCTTTAAGTATCACTGTTCATTATGGAAATTAAATGATAAATTGATTAATCCATACAACCTAAACCGCAATCATTAAGTAATGACTAATCTAACTTTTAAAAGGTGATCTGATTCATTTAATAACATTTCTATGTAATTAAGACAATTAAAAACCGCTAAGAGTCAAAATGTCTGTGATAATTTAATTAAAAATAATTTTATAGACATTTCTATGTGCCTGATGGTGTTGACAAAAATCCAGTGCTGATCCCGCAAACCTCTAATTTATATTAAACAAAAGTTAAAACTGTGAGGTTGTTCCAAAACATGGTTACATAGCCTCATTTAACAAATATGTATATACGTGTACACTGGCTTTTAAAATAATGACGATTTTTTTTTAGAAAATCAAAACCTGTTTGATCTCAAGAATCACTGACAGTAAGGTAAAAGGTAAAAAAAAAAAAAAAAAAAGACACACACACACACACACACACACACACACACACACACACACACACACACACACACACACACACACACACACACACACACACACACACACACACACTTCCCATACGTATTCCATGCAAGTAGAGGGCGCTATACAGCGAGAGCAGACAACAAACACAGGCTCATTCAGAGTCCCAGCATCCTCCTCCCACTGCCTACTTCAGATGAATCCATTGAGATATGTCATATGTCATAACCCGGTGATATTATACCAAAGCAGATTGATGTATAATGAGTGAATGTAAGTAGAAAAGACAGTATTTTCAACATAACACCTGTCTCAGTTATAGATTATATGTTTGGTACTATTTTAACCAAGACTGTTCTTAAGGGTTTTATTTTAAACATTCTATTGATCAAAGAATCCTGAAAAAAAAAAGATACCGCTTTCACAAAAATAGCTATTAGGTAGTACATTGATAATAATATAATACATGTTTCTTGAGCAGCAAATAAGCTTATTAGAATGATTTCTGAAGGATCATGTGACACTGAAGACTGGAGTAATGATGCTGAAAATACAGCTTTGCATCACAGGAATAAATTACATTTAAAAAAAAATAATTTTAAACTGTAATAACATTTCTGTCATGATACTAAAAGTCCAATGACAAAGACGAGTTAGGAGATTCAAAAACAAATTAATAAGAAAAATAAACCATGTCCACATCTAAGCCGACAGTGAACTGAGAACAGATAATGAACAGATTCTAACAGGTGTGATCAAATTAATCAGTAACCATAGTAACAAAGGGAAAATGAACAAAGGAAACTGGAAACTTTTTTTGAAAAACTAAAAATAAAGGAAGGGGGGGGGGGGGGGGGGGGGGCAGTAATGAATGCACAGATAAATTATAAACCTACAATAATAATATTTGTAGATAAACTGGAGCAATTTAATCAATCATTTTTGTCCAATATTCTTCAGGTTTTGTTATTATTATTGTTATTTAATTTTCTCCAGAAATATAGGCTAATGTATAAATTCTTGCGTAGGTGTTTTGGGCTGTTTTTGTTGTTTGTTTGTTTGTTTTTTGCTGTAAACATGATTCTGAATAGATACTGATGTAATTTAACACATATTTGTGGGTATAATGCCCATGGACAGTGAGACACAGTTATGTAATAGACCATGTGAGATTTAGTTGTATCGTAGTTGGTACCATGGATGGCTGTCTCTCATGCGGTGACCTATGACCCCATCTAAGGACGTGTGTGTGAGATCATCTATTTATCTCAGTGGTGATGCCAGTGGCTGCAAGTGCATTTACTGAGGCCTCTATCATTCACAGACATCTGTTTAGACTGTAGTAATTATAATATCTTTACTGTAAACAGTCAGAAGAATGAACGAGAGCACTGGAAAGGCTTTCTGCTCGAGTAAACACTAACATAACAAAAGTTTGGATTCAACAGAGTCCATCCATAAATTAAAATTCTGTCATTATTTATTTATCCTTGTGATGTTCCAAACACAGATGTCTTTCTTTGTTCGGTGGAACACAAAAGGAGATGTTAGGTGGAATGACAGCCTTTCACAGAATGGCACCATTCATTGTATGCAAAATAAAAAGATGCAATGAAAGTGAATGTTGCCCGAGGTTGTCAGCCCATATTTTGCCTAATATCTCCTTTTGTATTCCACAGAAGAAAGAAATACACACATGTTTGAAACAACGTGTGTTTTAATGTGGTTAATTTTAAAAAGAACCTCATAACGTATCAAGACAGCACAGGTGAATAGGGTATAGTAAATAGGCAGATTATGCAAATTATGCACTATCTAATTAAATATGCACTATTTTGCACACATTTTCATAAGAGAAATCTGACCAGTAGATAAAGCCAGGTTCAAAATCTTGTTTAATTTTAAGTTGTTAAAAAATCTTCAAAATTAAAAGCTCTGCCAGTTCTATCAGTGCTGTTTTGATTTAAAACACCAGGAGGCAGTATGAAACCTTATCGAGATGGTGAAAAAAAAAAAAAAACACTTTCCCTTAGAAATACACGCTTTCCTAACGTATTTTTTTCTAAGAATATTTCGTTTTTAATTTTTTGAGACATAAACTCTTAAATACTGTTTTTAATGATAATTCCCAGCAATTCATACGAAAAAACCCCCAACAACAACAGACTTATAACACCTTTTGAATTTTTGACAATAAACTAGTCGGGAATAAAAAAAAAGGGAAGGTTTGATGATGGGTAGTTTTGTACGTTTTTGTTTTGATTGACGAGTAAGAAACATTCCTCATTGGTCAAGCCAAAGGCGTGGCGTAACGGTGCCACGCAGCTCTAGTATGAGCTCTAGGCTAAATAACGGATTCTACTATGGCGAAGGCTATAAATATTAATGAGGTCAAGCTAACGTTGCTTGGTAACCTTGGAGCGTTCAGTCACGTTTCCTAATTAATATTTACAAGTCTTCCTTCTCCATAGTAGGATTAGATAACTTTCAGTCAATCAGTTTACTGGTCGTCTGAACGTCACGCAACGTATTCATTATTCATGAGACAAGTACGGAGGCTCTTTAAAGTTAAATAAACGCCGCGGCGCGACTTGTGTTGCAGTTGCACGCAGTGTGCAGAGGCGCTGAGAGACAGACAGGCAACGAACCGAGACGAACAGACCCGAACCTGCGTGGCAAAAAGACTCTTCTAGAGAATGACGTCCATTTGTCCAAGATGCGATAAGACTGTGTTTTTCGGTGAGAGTTTTCCACTAGAATTATCACTTAGCAGAAGTTTAAGCCAAGTTCATTTCATTGTTATCATATCATTGGATGGGACTAATTGACTCAAATTGCAGGGCATTTAAATTATGTTCTGAAAGGTCAACATTTTATTTTTTTAAGGAATAAACTTCTGCAAATCTTGGCAGAGTTACATAACAAGTGTTTGGAAAGTGTATTTATTGGTTTTGGAGTCATTGGGTTGTAAGCAGTGGGAATTGAACACTTATGTTTTCTTTTTGGGATATTGAAGACCTCATATCCAGTTTAATAGTTCCAAATATTTCATGGTGTAGCATCGGATAGATACTTTATGATGTGTGTGTGTGTGTGTGTGTAAATGCTTTATAACGAATTATGTTTTATAAGTAGCCTGCTTCATTGTTGTTCTTCGTCTGTTTTGGATTTATGTGAATAAATGCAATGTATTTCCATATATTAATATTCTTATCTGTGCACATCAGTACTTCAGCCCCAAACCAAAGTGGTGTTCCTGTACTTGAGAAACATTCTGAAAAATATGTGTCTGCTTTGTAAACGGTTAAATTAATCTGTCTAGTAGTTTTAACTGGGTCTGAGGAAAAGATGTAGGGTAAAATAATAGGTTAATTCCAAAAATTTTATAATGAATTTTCCCACATACGGCATATGGATATATGGGACCCCAAACTGTCTGTCTCAAGAAGAAGTCTAATCTTGCAGCCTGTGCAGAACTAAGTATTGTTATTAATAGGTCAAGCACAAGTGACCCAGACGCTCCCACAACCGCATTGGAGGATGTTCTCTAGTCTGTCCCATTTTTGTCACGTTATATGCTCCTGTTTAGTATTCTGTCCTGGAATCCAGTAGTCACAGGGTTAGTAAATGCTTTAGCCCATGAAAAGAGAATTGGGTGACACTGTTACGTAAGAATTTGGCAAAGGACTCTTGAACAAAGTGAGAGGATCTGTTGTGCTACTGTTGCAGGTTAGCGGATGGAGTAACTGTCTTTCTGGCTGCACTGAAGAGGAGATGTCAGCTTGATGATTTGATATCCCCGTTGAGCCTAGACTTCTGAAAATGTCTGACTCGGTGGGCTCTCTGTTTGACCTGACTAGTTTTGTGTGATGGAATGTGTACGTGTGAGAAAGACAGACCCCTAGGAATGTTGGCTGGTTAGTATGTAAAGTTCTGGGATGGTGGGTTTAGTCCCCCATATGCACAATTCACAATGTCAACCTGGCAAATGTTTTTTTTGTATCATATTATAGCTCTTTCGCTTGGTATTTTATCACTACAATCTTAAAAATGGTTTTCGCAGCGATGCCATAGAAGAACCATTTTTGTTTCCCCAAAGAACCTTTCAGTCAACAGTTCCTAAAAACCTTTTTTCTTAGTGTGAAGAAGAACATTCTAAATCTTAAAGGTATAGGGTAGGCTGTTTCGTTATACTGGTTTAAACTCTCTTCACATCCTGATAGCAATCAATAATAGAAAATGGTCTAAATATTAAAAATGTATGAATATCTTCTGTGAAAGTCTCAGGAACAAAAAAATTTGCGTTCACACCATGTAGTAACCGTAATTACAAGATGGCAACCTGTGACATTCTACCTGGAGCTGTTCACATCCTCAGACTCGGATTTATGCATTCTATGGCAACACTATTAACGGAAAAATAAAACTGCAGCAGTCATGTGGTACAAGTCAGAGCTCTTGAAGTTGTTTACATTCATTACTATTGTAATGTTATGTGCTTTGAGAGATGGGGTAATTTAGCGCCGTCTCTCATGACACTTTCCAGACTCTGCTCTGGCTATGCGCATTCATGTGTTTTGGAGAAGTAAAGCATTTTCTGTACAGCTGCTTTGAAACGATATGTGTTGTGAAAAGCACTCTACATATAAATGGGAATTGAATTGAAGGGAGGGTGGGATCTTATGCAGTCAAAGCTAGCTTGCTATTGCTAGCCTCTCTGAAATTGCCTACCCTACCTTCAATTGATGTTAAAGGTTCTTCATTGTACCATCAATGCCAATATAGAATCTTTATTTTTAAGAGTGCTGAAAATATAAGAGTACTTTTATTTATTTCATTTCTTTGTGGAATGTTGACGTGTGTCTTTCTTTAAATCACTTGTATTTCTCATTCCTGTGCTCCAAAGTCCATGGCTGTTTACTGTGTATTTGCTCATAGCAAACTATTGATTTTTTCTTTTCTTTTTTGTAGTTATGTTAAATTCAGGAGCTGATAGACGAATGAGAGAACACACGCAAGCAGTTTTGTGCAATGGAAGTTGTAAAACATTACTAAAGGCTGAAAATCAGCATACACTACCATTCAGAAGTTTGGGGTCCATAAAGGGTTAGTTCACCCAAAAATTTAAATTCTGTCAGTAATTACTCACCCTCATGTTGTTCCAACCCCGTAAGACTTTCGTTCATCTTCGGAACACAAATTTAATAAATCTGAGAGCTCACTCCTCCATAGGCTTCTATTCTAAACCTGCCAGCCCAGAAAGTTAGTAAAAACATCGTTGAAATAGTCCAAGTGACTACAGTGGCTCAACCTTAAGTTTATCAAGCGACGAGAATACATTTTGTGTGCAAAAAAAACAAAAATAACGACTTTATTCAACTATTCATCTTGTTCTGTGTGGGCCTCTGAGTGAGTTCACGTAGTGTAACAGCGCAGCGCTACGTCAGAACGTAGGCTCACTATTGGCCGACGCTATCGCTGGTCATGAGTGTGATGCTGGCCAATAGTGAGCCTACGTTCTACGTTCTGACGTACGTTTTTGATTTAATCAAAAATATCTTAATTTGTGTTCCGAAGATGAACGAAAGTCTTCCGGGGTTGGAACAACATGAGGGTGAGTATGAGTAATTACTGACAGAATTTTCATTTTTGGGTGAACTAACCCTTTAAGAGGCTGCATTTATGTAATAAATTCAGTAAAAACTGTAATATTGTGAAATAATATTACAATTTAAAATAACTTTTTTCAATTGGAATAATTTTTAAAGTATTATTTATTTATTTCTCTAATGGCAATGCTGAATTTTCATCAGCATTTCTCCAGTCACATGATCCTTCAGAAATCATTCTAATATGCTGATTTTGCTTCTCAATAAACATTTATTATTACTATGAATGTTGAAAATAGCTGTGGTTCTTAATATTTTTGTGAAACCATTTTTTAAAGATTCATTAATAAATAGAAAACTTAAAAGAACATTTAAAGTATTAATTTAAAAAAAAATCTTACTGACACCGAACTTTTAAATAGTGTTTCTACTTTTTCATTGCTTAGTTTCTTTTGAAATATCAGTGAAATGCTTGTTCATTTGATTATGCACAATAACTGCTTGTGAAGATCAGAAGGTCAGAGATAAGATGCACTTTTCAACATCCTCTTGATAGGAGCAGATCTGACTCAGCAGGGTTTGCGTTGTAACAGGATCTCCCTTTGGAGCTTTTCTTCAGATGGTCCAGTTTGTTCTTCCTTTCCTTTGATGCTGCATTGTTCAGCTGCAAACACACACACATAGAGACCCCACCCATTAGAATTAGTATTTTGTTTGGAAAGTCTTTCTCAGAGCTCTTGTAAGTACTGTTTATAGATATCTCGACAGATTTAAATGCACAAACACGCACACAATTGTAGTTGCTGTGTTAAGCTGTATTTCAGCATTTGCCGAGCTGGGCACACCTGAAAAGAACTTTTACAGTAACAGTAATTATACAAGTTATATAAATAAAGATTTTAAAGTCAATAATTTGCCGCTGTAGTCAATAATTTGATCCTTTAAAACTCACCTTTGATCACCAAAATAAAAATAAAATAAAAAAATGCACATCATGCCTTGAATGTAACTCTACACACCTGCCTTTTGAGTAAACGTGGTTCTATGATTATGCAAATTAGCCCCGCCTCCACTCACTCTCACCAGCTCAGAGACGTGATTGGTTACAGTTTGTGACATCAGAAACACCAGCGATTTCAAACCGCGTTTTTGAGACTGTCTTTGGTTCACTGCAGTTTTAAGGAGAAAATACTCAGCAATGGTGATGACTTATGAATTTGCACATGGTTTGTCTTGAAGCATATTAAAAACACCATTAACAACATTAAAAGCTTGATTTTTACCACATGGGAAATTGGGAATTAAGTACACTATCATTTAAAAGTTTGGGGTCAAAAGATTTAAAAAAAAAAAAATTTTGAAAGATTTCTCTTATGCTCACTTGGCTGCTTTTATTTGATCAAAAATTTTATTTGATCTAAAAAAGTTATATTGTGAAATAGTTGTACAATTTAAAAATAACTTTATACAGTATTTTAATTATTTAATTAATCCCTTCTAATATGCTGATTTGGTGCTCAAGAAACATTTCTTATTATCAATGTTGTAAAAAGTTTCCTCTTAATATATTTGCGGAAACCGTGATCAATTTATTTTTTCATTTTTTTTGATAAATAAAAGTTTTATTTGAAATAAACTTTTCTGTCTTTACGGTCACTTTTGAATGCAATTTTGCTGAATTAACTCTTTTTTTTTTTTTTTCATTAAATCTTACTTACCCTAATCTTTTGAATGGTAGTGTATGCTTGATATTTCCTTTTTTTTTTTTATGTTTTTTTTAGGCTTTTGACTATTGACATATAGTCAGGTCCACTTAGCAGTGTTTTTGGCCAAGAACCACTCACTTAGAAAGAACAATGTCATTTGACAGAGTTTTAATGTGGCCAAACATAGAAATGTATCACTACAGGACAATTGTGATCTTATTAATTGTGTGTAATTTAGATATACATCACTGCAGTTAAAGCTGTCACCCTCAGTTATGTACTGTATATGGTATCACACACTGATCAGATAACACATTACACTCTCTCCCTGTTCTAGCTGAGAAAGTGAGCTCTCTGGGGAAAAACTGGCACCGCTTCTGTCTGAAATGTGAACGATGCAGTAAGATTCTGTCTCCTGGAGGCCATGCGGAGGTAAGCAGAACTAAAGCTGATACTGCAGGCTGAAATGCCATTAAAGGGTTAGTTCACCCAAAAATGACAATTCTGTCAGTACATGATTTACTCACCCTCATGTTGTTCCAACCCAGTAAGACTTTCGTTCATCTTCGGACCACAAATTAAGATATTTTTGCCCACACAGAAGAAAATGAATAGTTGAATAAAGTAGGGTTTTTTTTGCGCATAAAAGTTATTCTCGTCGCTTGATAAACTTAATGTTGAGCCGCTGTAGTCACTTGGACTATTTTAACGATGTTTTCACTAACTTTTCTGGGCCGGCAGAATGAAATTACAATAGAAGCCTATGGAGGAGTGAGAAAGCTCTCAGATTTAATCAAAAATATCATAATTTGTGTTCCGAAGATGAACGAATGTCTTACGGGGTTGGAACAACATGACGGTGAGTAATTACTGACAGAATTCTCATTTTTGGGTGAACTAACCCTTTAATGAAATTACTTTTTCTGATCATTGGGTATTTTTTCCTCTTACTTTCTTTCTTTCTTTCTTTCTTGCTTTCTTTCTTGCTTTCTGTCTCTTTCTTATTTCTGTCTCTTTCTTTATTTCCTTCTCCTTTGATCAGACAGCACAGTCATGATCCCTGATGACAGATAAATGAGATTCTGGATGTCCTACTTCTTGGTCTGTATGTATGTTGGTCTGTAGAGTTTCAGGCTTGCACATCCTCAATGTCATTTAGCAGGAGATCACACAACCGACTCTAAAAGCTCAAGCCATTGGGCTGACACTGATTCTAGGTCATCCATGTGCTTACCTATTTCAGTGCCCCTCACTGTACTTTCTTCTTCCTTTCTTCTTTTCTCTCTCCTTCTTATTGTCCTGACATCTTCGATGGTCTTGTCTGATACATTAGGAGACATTTTCTAGTTCAGTGATCTGAGTTGTCTTTTGTCCCTGTTTGGGTTAAATGATTGTTCATCCATCCCTCTACACTCCACCCTTAGACATTTCACTCATCAGGAGTAGAAGTTTATGGAGGAATTGAAAGTCCTACAATGACTGTAAGCACAGATAATCAGTATTTATATTAACCTCATTGGATCTGTCTGGAATGCTCTCTGACTGTCAGGGAGAGATTACAATTACATTTACTATATATCTATTTAAAAATTTAGCATGTTTGTTTTCTTGAAACGGTTACATAAAGCCATTCCCATACTCATAGCTCTCTTAGGGTCCATACTTGAACCCTAAACATCAAAATATCTAAGAATGAAAGGATAAAGTATAAAAATCCTCGGTACTCCTTACAAAAAGCATTTGATTTTGCTTTATTCTGTCATTTTTTTACAGTATGAACAGAAAAGAGATTGACAGACACAGCAGGGTGAAGAATGACTGACTGTGTTAACAGGAAGCGAAACAAATTCTTTTAGTCTTGGGCTTTACTACTACTTGCCTCTTACAGGAAATGTAAATCATAATATTCTTAACCGCAATGAAATTCATGGAGAAATGGCAGTAATCTGTCATTTTCAAATGCATGTTCTGTCCGGTACAGCTGCTACATTTCAAATAACTTTACTGAACATGTAGGTATCTGTAAGCCTATGCACTTTCTCTCCCACACAGTGTTACTGTGGGTCTTTACCACAAGGACAATGTAGGGACAAAGATAGTGTTCATTCAAACCAGAAAACAATCGTCTGCTTTTCTGCTTCTCTTCCTTTCTTCCTTCTCCCTTCTTCTCTCTCTCATCACGCTCACGCTTGCTCGCACACAAACACAAGTCACAGACAGCTTTAGTTTAATTATAAGGTGAGTTTGGACTGAAGAATTTTTTTCTTTTTTTCTATTGCTTTTTCATTTGTGTTGATAAAAATGGAAGGACAAACAGTTTTTCATTGTCTCACTGAAAGATATATTTAGTCTCGTTACTCTTCTATTAAAGTTACTGTTTCCCCTTCTTTTGAGAACTGTGCTCTTTTTTGTTTCCCCTTCTTTTGAGAACTGTTTGCGCTCTTTTTCTCTTATTGTGTTCAAAACAGCAGGAGGTTGTGTTGTTGGTGTTCACTCTCTGCAGGTGTCGACTGCCTTTTTTTCCTAACTCTATTCTTTGGGAAATGGCTCTCAGTGGGAATGCGAACTGTATTTTTAGCTTGTCACAACAGAGACACTGAGAAAGATGTTGCTTTTAATATAATATATAAAATATGTATAAAAATGCCTTATTAAGATGGTAATACAAATAAATAAGTAAATATCTGTTTGCTCCGTTTAGCATGTTAGTTTGGATTTAATGTTTTGAGCACACATGCACTAAAACGCATGCCCACTAAAATAGAGGTGTGTGTGTGTGTGTGTAAGGAGGCTTGAATTTCACCCTGATTTGAGCCTGACTGGGTCTTTTTATGCAGTCTGGGAGGAGCAGGAAGGAACAGAAGGATAAACAATGACCTCTAATGAATCCAGCACGACACAAGCCTCTTTCTCTCTTTCATTCTGTCTCCCACACACACTTCTGAAAATATTACCTTGCTTGAAAATTTAGGTTTTAGTAGAAGAGTGTCTGGCACAAATTTTAATTTAATTTACAAATACACTTTTTTTATAGAAAACATTATTATTATTGGTAGTAAACTATAAATATGTGTAAGCACTCGGCAATTATAATATTTTTCTCAATTTAGTTTTAGTTTAGTATGGTTTATTGATGTGATTAAAAAAAAACTATACATTTGTACAGTGAGAAATTCAGCAAATTAAGTAAAATAAAGTTAAAATGGACTAATAAAGATATTCTCTCTTTTTCTCTATCAGCATGATGGATTGCCTTACTGTCATAAACCCTGCTACGGAACTCTCTTTGGACCAAAAGGTATGTGCAATAAATTGTATTTGGAGTTTGTAAGGTGTTTTGTGCGTGTGTGTAAAAATGTGAGACATTGAATTGGAAATATAGTGTATTTTTATCTTCATACAAAGCTATGTAAGAATTTAGATGCTAACAGGTATTTAATGGGTATTTGGATCTTTTGTTCTAGCTGCTCTCTGTGTTCATGTACAGGGAATAAAGGTTTGAATCAGAGCTCATTTAGAGACATCTGACTCTCAGTGACTTTTTTAGAATAACCTTCCAACCAAAGACCGTTCACTCACCACTAGAAACCTTATCGTTCATGTATGTGTGTGTGTGTGTGAGAGAGAGAGAAAGAGAGAGAGAGAACAGAGAGAGAGAGAGAGAACACAGAGAGAGAGAACACAGAGAGAGAGAGAGAGAGAGAGAGAGAGAGAGAGAGAGAGAGAGAGAGAGAGAGAGAGAGAGAGAGAGAGAGAGAGAGAGAGAGAGAGAGAGAGAGAGAGAACAGAGAGGTCATTTTTTACCCTCATGTCAGCAGAGATTGACCAGCTTTTTTGGTACTTTTTCTCCCTTTTGGAGCTGAACATCACTTGAAGAGATCCTTAAAAATATCATTAAGTCTTACGGGTTTGCAACAACAAGAGTAATGATGATTCAGTTTTTTTTTTTTTTTTGGGTGAACTATCATTTAAAGTCCCCATGAAATCAAAATTGAAGTTTTTTGGCTGTTAGTATGAATAGGCTGTTGTCTATAAGCTAATGTGCTCCAAAACAATGACAAAATTAGCATTTAGTAGATATTAACATTCAAAACTTACAGTCTCTCACTTCTGTCAATATGATCAATGATTCAGATGACATCACTCTGCACTTCAGCTTCTCGTCAGATTTTCTGTCCAATCAAATGCTCTCTAGAATCTACAGCATCCCGCCCCCAAATAGACGCTGAAGCTGCAGCTGAAATTGGTCACTTGTTCACACATTTCCTATTTTCTACTGAACAATTCAGACAGTGTAAATATGCTTTCCATTGGGGCGAATGAAGTCTGGTTTCACGTTAGTGTGATGTGAACCGTCTCAAGGCGCATACAGTCTGCTCCGGTCCAGGACACGATAGCACAGAGCGGATCATATGGGCGAGTCAGCGCAAACCACAAAACGTATCGGACCCATTTGATTTCTGCACAGAATGCTATATTTAAAAGCGATATGGAGGAGATTAGGAGGAAACTGCAGCTTTACCGAGCTCAATGGCTCTGGCCGTGCTGCAATATAAACGAAACACTATTGGCTTTTTTAAAAAAAGAGAGAAGCTATTCAATATGTCCCACCATGTTTTCCTGTTTCTGTGGAAATTACGTCAACACATTTAATAATGCTGCACGTTTCAAGGCACTTCAGTGGGCCTTTAAGGGGCCGTTTACACAACTCCATTTCAACTAAAAACTGAAAACCTTTTATGCATTTTGGCCGTTCATTTACACGACAATGGTGTTTTGGGGGCCTGCAAATGCAAGCTTTTGAAAATGGGTTTCAAAGTGCAAGTTTTTGAAAACAATACCGTTATCGCCTCCATGTAAAATATAAAAACGTGAATATGTGAAACGATGACGTCATGCGCATGCTTATTATGTGTTCAGTCTATAGGCGCGTAATGTCTCTTTACAAAGTGACATCGCCAACAACTGGCCTGTTTTTAGTCATTTTTGTGGATCCGTGTGAACAGGGATCGTTTTGACTACGTTGTCACCTGTATACAAATATCGCGTAGGAAAAACGTATCTGTTTTTAGTACATCGTTGTCGTGTAAACGTTCCCTTAATATCTGCTACTTTCTTGTTGATTGAAGCCAGATTAAAGCAGGTCTTCCAGGTTGGACCAGATCATATCCGTAGATGGCGAAAAGTTGCTCCTGCTACTTTGACGCTTATATGGTGTGTGAGTGGCATAGGTTAGTTGTTCCAATGAGTGAGAAAGGTTGAGATGAAGCAGCTAAATCTCGAACCTCCGGATAATCTCCCGTTTTAAAAAGACCACGAACAGAGGAGAGTCTGCTGGCAAAAAGAGAACGCAACAGAGCTCGTAATAAAACATGAATCAACATCGGCTTGGCTTTAGCAGATAGCGAGAACTGAGGGATTTGAAATGTTGTAAAAGTGATGCGAAGATTTTATTACTGAACAAGTGAGTAAGGCATTTTATTGAATGAGTACATTGCCATGTGTAGCTCTCTAACAGAGTTCATTATCTATTTTGAAGGGCAATTTCATTATGGTTGTTGTAGCGCAGTCAAGTCATCTTTATCCATATAGCCTAGCGCTTTTTACAGTACAGATTGTTTTAAAACAGCTTTACAGTGATAATATAGCCTGACGTCGTCATACTCAGATTCTAGTCAGAATGTGAGTCTGATACTGCTCCATTGGGCTATGATTATGGCCCGTGTTTCAACCAAACCAGGAAAGAAAATGCCTCTGCACTCAATTGGATAGACCTACAACTAATCACAGCAATGGAGTAAGTGACGTATGTTGAATCCCGTAGGAAGGACGGCAAAACATCTTTCCGATCGGCAAATGCCTTTATCGCGGTTCTCTGTTCCTCTTTTAAAATGAATGCGCTGTCTACATCTTCTATAACAGACGCGATGGCGGAATCTACACATCTCAATTCTTCAGCGGCAGCCACCTTTGTTGTAAACGAATTCAACCCAAGCGCTCTTTGGTGACGTGGATGATTACGTTACTGTTGATCATCTGTCCATCATCGTATAAAGCCCGCCCTGACAATTTGATTGGTCCGAACAGCTCTGGTTCGAGCATAGTTGCTCCACAACGGATCAAGTCCAGACCGAACTTCCCGACCTCAAATGTTGTGGGCGGGGCTAATCCGACTGGCATCCAGGCTAGTGATAACAGGAAAATAATCACACTGAGCCAAAGCACAACTAAAACAATGTTCTTCTGCAAAATGCATGCAGTTTTGTTTTTTAACGATAGAGGGCCAAAAGTTGCATAGTGTACTTAAAAAAAAAAAAAAAAAAGTCACCCTGTCTTCCTAAACACTTCAGACATCAGAAGAGTTAAATTAGATTCTGTGATGTCATAAGAGAGTCAGACAGACAAGAATGGTGTGTGTGTGTGTGTGTGTGTGTACATGTTTTCCTATCCCGGTGGGGACTTAAACCTGCATGCACACAGACTCATGGGGACTCGTGTCACTGTGGGGACCTTAATTGAGGTTATAAATCATACAGAATGAGTTTTTTTGAAAATGTAAGAGGTCGAGGATTGGTAGGTTTAGAGGTCGGGTTAGTGTAAGGGGACAGAATATACATCAGTTTGGAGAGTATAAAAACCATTACATCTATGGGGAGTCCCCACAAAGATAGTGAACCTGTGTGTGCGTGCGTGTGCAGCATGCGTGCGTGCGGTAAGATGCTAGGTTTTATTGTATAGCTTGTTAATGCACATCCAGACTTTAGAATATGTTTGTTTCAGTTTGTATTATACTATCCAAGTGAGTGTGTAATTCGGAAGAGATACATTTTATCAGGATCTGAACAGGTTATTTTTGGCTTTTGTGTAATGCTATCTGCATTAGGAGAGTCTGAACACTTAGATATGAGCTTTATCAACCACAAACACTCAATCACACACTAATGGAATGGTACTCACTGCTCTGTCCTCTCTTTGGTAGGTGTAAATATCGGAGGGGCGGGGTCTTACATATATGACACGCCTCCTCAAACACCGGTTGACAAATCATTTAACAGCCCTTCAGACGGAGCACCCACCACACCTTGGACCAACTCACAGATCAACTATAATCAACCCAAAGGTAATTTAGACACTACTGTTCAAAAGTTTTAAGTCAGTAATATATTATTATTAATTTTTTTATTTTTTATTAATACTTTTATTCTGAAAGGATGCATTCAATTAATCAAATGTGAGAGTAAAGACATTTATAATGCTACAGAACATATCTATTTCAAATTAATACTGTTATTTTGAAAATTCTATTCATCAAAGAATCCTGAAGGATCTCAATGGCCACATACACACTGCAGCTAAATTTGGCTGACAACTCACCTGTGAATGCTTAATCCTCTTCTGTACACGCACAGTTCCATATTTTATGGGAGTGACAACCAATCGCATTCTACATCCGAATTAACTCCCGAAAAATGCAGGTAGTGACAAACTCAAAACTTCTACACCGTGTGTACAGAACCGAACTGAACAACTAGTTGTTAATGACGTATTTTAACATGCAATGAATGTTTCTCTTTATGTGCGGTGCGAGAAATCACAGGGAAAGCAGTACGAGCCTTGACTTATTCATGATCCAGATCTAGAAAAACAGCAAAGAACAAGACAAAATAAACGAAATAAATCCAAATTCAAATGCTAAAATTGAGATAGGATATTTAATAACTCCGTTAACTTGATCACTTTATGAGCCAAGCTTAAACAGTAAGCCCAAAAACACTTATAATAAGTGGAAATGGCAACACTACAAGAGCTCTGTGAAGCCGCCTTTCCAAGCATAGGCCTATAAGCAAGACATGACTCCTCCATCGACTGTGCTTTAGTTAAAATTGCTGAACATAACGATTCTTTACGTATGGCTGCTGCAAATTCAGTTTTTTTTTAAAAGCTGCATCACAAAAACACTTTAAGCAAAAATATTACAAAAAGTTTATTGACGCCTGTGAAAAAAGTTAGAATAAAAAAGAAACATAAAGTAATTATGAAATGGTTTAAAAGAAGAAAAAAAGCACTTTGTGGTATCAATTGCGATCAATTGGTAAGTCGCTCTTTTAAATTTATATCTCATCGTGATTATTATATATCACAAGTTTTGTTTTATTAGGTGTCCCCAGTATTTAATCCTTGTTTTCCTATTGCAGTTTTTATTTTTTTTATTCTTTTACACTGAAATGGTTTCTACAATATACTGTCAAAAATTAAAACTAGTATTTGAACACTTTTCGGTCGTCAAACGTTAGTGTAATATGTCCTTAGTTAATGTGGCTACTCTGCTAGGACACCCGTTGAACTTGAGGGAAACTGACTTTATACATCTACTAAAATCTTGACATTAATTGGTTTAAAGTGAGGAAAATGGCTCAGAAGTTATTTCTGAGAAAAGTTCTAGCAGCATTTGACTGTAAATGCCACTTGGTTTGATATTTTGTCTTGTAATGAAATGACATTCAGACATGGTTAAGTGTGACTTAAGTGTCCAAATGTGTCCATGTGCTATTTTTAGCCACTGTATATATAGACACACTCTTCCGAGCTGCATTGTTCCACACATTCTTTTATATATTAGCACTTCCTCAGCACTTTTTAACACACACACACACACACACACGCACGCACGCACACGCACACGCACACAGAGATTCCCACTCTGAGTGGGAGATAGAAATACTTAAATGTGTGTGTTGTAATGGAGGGGTGGGAGGATTGTTTTCTGAAGTGACCCCCTTGGGATTTTATGCAGTGGAATTTTAATGGCTTTAGTTGATTGGCTCCTTTCCTGAAATATTTCCCCTTAATAGGTGTTTTCCGACAGGCGGGACGTTGCAGGAATGTAAGGGGAGGGTTTTAAGGACTGCTGTGGAAACGTCTGGAGAAATGTCTCAGAATGTAACGTGTTTCCTGTGAGCCAAGCGCCATGGGTTCACTTTGTTAAAGATAACACAGGAGAAGACATTAGGATCTAAAACTGGTAACAATCTGTCATCTTTGATGTGAGACAGAAGTGTTGATTTAAAGATCCTTATCAAAGCTGGATCATACAGAACAGATAAACCAGTCCTCCAGAACAACAAACCAGTCCTCCAACCAGTCCCGGCGCCATGGGCGGGCATTGGGGGGCCTGGCCCGCCCTGTGAGTCACTAGTGCCCGCCCTGAGCGAGTCTCTCCCTTCACCAACTCCACTTCAAGTCCCACCAGTCCTTGCTTGTTTGCACAATATCTTTTTTATCAATAGGCTACTGTTATCAAAAGTTATCCTTTTGAATATACATAACTCCTGAATAAAAATAAAAATGTGTTTGGTCTGATTTTTTTCTAATTGTAAACGGATTGATTGGTTTGTCGATAGAGAGCGCGGAAATGCATGTGATAGCGGTCTTATTAAGCGAGTCATTTATTCAAACGTTTCGTTCAAACGCCATAGAGAAATGCACATTTCATACGGATTACATGAGCAGGGAGCAGTCTGTAGTCTGTTTTCTTTCGTTTTGAATTGTTCTGTTTAAAAGTAGACATGTCTGTGAGGCGGGCTACCTTATACGCCTACACGAGTTTCGGTTCAATTGCGACGAGCTCCAGTTCACGCGCTGGCGCCTCCGGTTCGTCATTATCGTCTGCTATATTTACTTCTTATTTATTAAATCCATCCAGGCAATTGGTTGATGAAATATTGATTAAAATTAAGATACAATTAATACAAAACGAAATTCACTTTAAAGAAAGGTTTTGCTTTCTGTTTGATATCTCTGTGAAAGTTTTAAAGCATATTTTAGTGCCAGAGCGCTCACGTCCGTAACATTGTTTTTTCCTCATAAATGCGAACACGAAAAATAAAATGAAATGAATATTTTATGCTCTGTGGAGACTACTGTTAGCCTACTCATAATTTGTATTCTGAATACGTAATGCGTTGTATTACTTTGAATGAGTGTTTATGCTTTCGAGGTTTTTAAATAAGCTTGATATGTGTTTGGGATAGTGATGTATGTCTCGAGACCGGTCTCGAGACCACTTTTACGTGGTCTCGGTCTTGTCACGGCCTTGACGGTCTTTGGTCTCGGTCTTGTCTTGGTCTCGGACCTCTCGGTCTTGTCTAGGTCTCGCTGTCTCAGACCGACATAGTGGTCAGGGGATTGAGCAATACAATACTACAATATCCACGACGATATCCGCAACGTATTGAAGCGCGCGTCCGAGTGAAGACAGTGCGGTGCGCGCGAGCCACGCGAGAAAACACTGTATCCGCGCCACTGATCGCAGCGGCAACGAGCACTTTGATCACTTGATTTAAAAAACACATATCATGTACAGTTTTTGATATATTAATATTTAGTAAAACACATATCAGTGACATGATGGGTTTTACCTTCATTGATTTTAGGTAACTGCCAGTGTTGTGCAAGTTACTTCCAAACTGTAATACATTATATTACTTGTTACTGTTATTTAAAAGTAATTCATTACCTTACAATATTACTGTCTCAGAATTGTAATGCGTTACATTACTCCTGTATTACTTTTGAGTTACTTTCACCAAAATAACTATACAGAAGTAGAACTTAACATTCGAAATGACTAGGGCTGTAACGATATGCGATATGAAACCGAAATCGCGACACTCTTCCAACTCCCAGCGTTATCCATACCTTCCAGATCCAATGCTACCACATCTTTAAATTACTATTAGTATTATTTGAAGTTAACTTAACATTATAAAATACGTTGACCTACACCACAAAACTAGTTGAGGATAAATTATTTAAAATTTGGGAATTCCAGCGTTATGGACATGACATTTGCAGTCAAAACTTGAAATATAAATTCTCAGAAAATGCATTAATACCAAAATATTGAAACGTCTGTTTATCCATAGGCTCCTCCCTGAAAGGAGTCCAGACATTAGAAAAATATCAGTCTACACATGCGTTTTATATTTAATATTAGGGAAATAGACAGTCATGCGTGACAAAACTTCTAGGAGGCAACGATTTTTTTTTTTTAATTCTGTGAATTACACTGCGCAAATCGGATGAAGAAGGGTTGGCTCTCCACAGAACATAAAATATTCATTTTATTTTATTTTCGTGTTCGCATTTATGAGGAAAAAACAATGTTACAGACGTGACAGTTCTTTATTACGGACGCGACCGCTGAAGCGGCACTAAAAGACTGCTTTAAAACTTTCACAGAGACCTTACACAGAAGACACAAAAGCCTTTCTTTAAAGTGAATTTCGTTTTGTATTAATTGTATCTTAATTGTAATCAATGTTTCATCAACCAATTACTTGGATAAGTTGGATTTAATAAATAAGAAGTATACGGCTAAATATAGCAGACAAGTATAGATAGGCCATCACGACACGGAGGTGAACTGGAGCGCGTCTCATAATAAATGAACCGAAACTCAGCGTATAAGGTAGCCTATTCACGGACCTGAAAAATATATCTATATTGAAATGTCTACTTGTAAACAGAACAATTCAAAACGAAAGAAAACAGACTCTGCTTATGAAATGAAATGTGCATTTCTCTCTGGTGCATTCACTAGCTGCGAAGATCGCGAGTCAGCATCGTCAACTTCATCTTGACTTTATTAATAAACAATTAAAATGTCTCCTTGCTATATTTGACATATTCATAATCATTGCTTTTGCCGGTTCTTTGTGAGAGCTTTTTGGCGCTTTATCGGCAGCGCCGCCGCCCTTACATGAACGCGTCACCACCGCATCAAAAACATGATTGCGTGATGAAAACATGAAAAATACCACATAAACATAGCCTAACTGTTTAGAAAGGAAACACAGAACGAATAGCATAATGCGCATACGTCCATCTCGCGAATGTGTATAGTCTTCTTCATGATGAAGAAGACTATACATTCGCGAGATGGACGTTCATGCCATCTTCACCATTAACCGCTTTTCCACTGGCCAGCGCAAGCACAGAGGCCGAAATCATACTTCACGGCACTCCTGTAAAAAATAAATCGCTATACAAATATATCAGACGCTGCTATTTAGTCTTTATTTACAGACTTGGACACCACACGCGGCTATTGACTGACCACGAACAGGTAATTTAGCCTACTTGCATTTTTCATTCGTTAATGTCTCGCGGTCTTGCTGTTTTTTTTTTTTTTGTTTTTTTTTTTTACAATTAAAACTAAAAGTCTGTTGTAACGCAAGCCTTACTGAACATGTACCGAGTAAAATATTACTGAAAATGGATTAGTAATGCCTTACATTACTGCGTTACAGCAAAAAGTAATATGTTACTGTAATGCATTACTTTTGTAACGCGTTACTCCCAACACTGGTAACTGCACAACTGAACTGACAGATGACTTTGAGCGCACCGCCAACGGTGTGTGTGTGTGTGTGTGTAACCATAGCGACAAAAACGACCAACTTTCGGATCCTGCACTTAAGCCTATAATTTCGTTTTTAAAAATATAATTATGTATTTAAAAGTTGCAGAATGGATTCATTTGGAGACTTCGAAATCAGCAGAGATAGGCAGGCAAATGCAAAACAACATTTGACAAGTTATTGCTTAGCTTCAACACTAATGTTTTTTTCCCCTCCGGTCTCGGTCTTAGTCTCGACTTGGCCTTGGTCTCGACTTGGTCTGTCTTGGTCTTGGTCTTGGTCTTGTCTTGGTCTCGGTAGTGTCTTGGTCTCGGTTTAGGCGGTCTCGACTACAAGTCTAGTTTGGGAAGATGTTTATGTTTTGTTGACATGTCGAGTTTTTTCGGTATTATATTTCGTTTTTTTTGGCTAAACAGCACAAGACTTTAATTAAGTAGGCTAACGTTAGCCATTCTGTTTGTGCTGCGTGATTTAAAGAAAAGTGCGCTCTTGCTCACACGATCAGCATGGTGATCTTGTGTTTTCTCCTAAATAAAAGCTCAAAGGTTTATTTCTTACAAGTGAAGAAATTAGGACAAAAGTAGTGTAATTTTCCTATTCTATAGCTTAATATAAAATACGATGTAATGTAGACTGAGACTATAATTAACAAGATGTTTGAGCCCTCTTTAGGTACAAGTCAATGCTTTTTCTTTGTTCAATGTGCACAGTTCATGGGTCGAAGCCGGTTGAAGCTCTTAATTTTGAGCTCTCAATGTGCACCAGATTGATGCATTTAAACTTAAAATGTACAAAATTTTCTTGCGGGGGAGAATGCCCCCGAACCCCCCTAGGGACAGAGGTCCACACAACATGCCCAATTTTTTTTCAATAATAATTCACAGCACCCCACTGATTACCTGAAAACACCTCTCAAACCTACTTAAAAAATTAAATCGAAGTTTGCGGAGGCAGTGTGTAAACGTACCTTTAGCGTCAGTAGCCTATTATATAATTATTATGCTCTATCGATCATTGCATAGTATCATAATCGATTCTGTTATGATGCAATGAGGTTGTTTTCATTTGTGCCACCCTGAAAAAAATGAATGCCCGTCCGTGAATTTGTGTCTGGCGCCGGGTCTGCCTCCAACTATATTAAAGTTATAGTTCAGAAATGTTTTAACATACACAGATATGAAAATAAAAGTTTAAACATGTATACAGAACCATAAAGTGTTTGCTTTTCGTTTGTAGCTTCCAATGCTCCTACACGCATGTTTGCTGGAGAAACTTATTCGTGTCCCGGCTGTGGAAAGGCAGTTTATTTCGGTGAGTCCAATGAATCAAAACTATGACTTTTCAGACATTTGAGAACTTTCAGGAATGTCTGTGGTGTGTGTGAGTGTGTGAGTGAGTGTGTACCTGGTATTCCCTACGTTACGGGGACCAAATGTCCCCACAAGAATAGTAATACCAGTTACTGTTGGTCCCTATGAGGAAAACAGCTTATAAATCATACGAAATGAAACATTCTAAAAATGTAAAAATGCAGAAAGTTTTCTGTGATAGGTAGGTTTAGGTTTAGCGTTAGGATATAGAATATACAGTTTTGTACAGTATGAAAATCATTGTCTAGGGAAAGTCCCCATAAAAGATGGAAATGTGTGTGTGTGTGTGTGTGTTCCTGCGTGCGTGTGTGCATGCATGTGTGCCTGTGTGTGTGCGTGTGTGTGTGTGTGGTTTTGTGCTTCTGAGGTAGATACTGTGTTGTTCTTTCTAGCCATATATTTTTTTGTCTCAAACACAAATTGACACTTACAAATTTTATTTAAAAATGATACATTATTTTTTATTTATTACATATATTTTATATATCAAATTATATATTTGAAATTAATTGTATAATTAAAATAAAAAAATATTACAAACTGTAAATATTGTTTTTAAATAATTGTTTTTAATATACATATCTTATTTTGTTTTTAATGTATAATCATATACATAGATTGTGATAGATTGATATGATGTCATTTGTGTTGTAATGTGGTGATGTCATGGTCTAATGCTGCAGCTGAGAAGGTGATGTCACTGGGTCGCAACTGGCACAGGCCTTGCCTTCGCTGTGTGAGGTGCAAGAAAACACTGACCCCTGGTGGTCATGCAGAGGTACTCATAAACGCATTGTTCAGCCTACTGCTTCTATTAAAAGTGTGTTCAATTTTTTAAAGTTTATATTATTTCATATTACATTCATATTCAAAATTAAAATAGTGATATATTGTGTAATATTTGTAGAATGTTTACCAGAATGATTACTTCATCATTAATTCGGACTCCTTAATAATACTCTATTATTTTCTCTATTTTCTGCAGCATGAGGGCAGCCCGTACTGCCATGTGCCCTGCTATGGGTACCTTTTTGGACCAAAAGGTGTGAACATTGGAAAGGTGGGCTGTTACATATACGAGAAAGAAAATGCAGAGAATGAAATCCCAAGTGAGCATTAAGTCATAATGAAAAAGCTCTTTTTTAATTTGGTACTGAAGTGTTGTTGTTGTTGTTTTTTTATATATGTTAATAAAATTGTAAGGTGTAAAGGTTAATTTAATATATGCAAATGTCATTGCATATGCATGTATTGTAATTGATAATCAGAAATGGCCACTGGCATCTTAAAAATGAATACTAAACAGTCCCCACTCAAACACACACACACACACACACAGGCTCTCTCTCTCTCTCTCTCTCTCTCATTTTTCTGTTTTTTTCTTTCACAAACACAGATCCACAATTTCAGTGTATTCATTCACAACTCCATTTAATCTTATTTAGAAAATCTCTAATTATTACATGGCACTGGAGAAATTTGTAAGTCTTATAAAAAAATATTTGTAACTAATAAAAAATATTTTAAAAGAACTTTAGAATTATTCTTTCATTTTTGTGCGCATTTACTGTCTTGGAATCTGAACATGACACTAAGCAACAGAACATCAGTGTGTATTATAAATTTGGTAAAAGGATTGAAAGTACACAAATCTCAGTGGTCTTCAGTGGGTTCATTCATTTTCATTTTCTCCACGTCCTCCTGCTTGTCATGATGTTTAATGAGATTTTTCCTATTCAATATGATAAAAACACATGATTGATTTGGTTAATGAACACAACTTCAACTTTCCTTGTATGTTTCCTTTAAGTGTTTTTAATAGAGATTAAATGTACCTATATTGATCCTAATATTCAAGCTAATTCTCTTAAAATAATCTTAAAATAATTGAGTGGTTTGTGTTTTACATGCTTGACTCGACAGAGTTACTCAAATGTTCAGCAGTGTGTTAAATACAAGTCTTCTATAGCTGCTTTAACAAAATATAGGTTATGACTCACCCAGTACCCTCGACATCCTCTATAGTCTCGGGTAGACACCTGTCTCGTGTCTCAGGTAACTGCCAAGCCACCAGACAAGCGACGAATGCCACAGAACACAGGATGGTCTGAGAGAAGTGACCCCAGAAACTGTCCAATAGCAGGACTAGAGGAGCCACAGACACACCCAGACGGGCCAGGAACGAGTTATAGCCCATCCCATTTTGCCTATAGGACCCAATCAAATCAATTCTTTATTTATATACTATGCATTGACATACATTTTGCACTTTGCGGTCAAAAGTTTGGAATAATAAGAAGTCTCTTATGCTCACCAAGGTTGCATTTATTTAATTAAAAATAAAAACAGTAATATTCTGAAGTAGTATTACAATTTAAAAGAACAGTTTATATTTTAATATATTTAAAAATATAATTTGTCCCTGTGTTGGCAAAGCTGATTTTCACTTTGGAGTTTCACATGATCCTTCAGATATTATTCTAATTTGCTGATTTGCTGCTCAAGAAACATTTCTTATTACTATGATGAAACCGTTGTGCTGCTTAATATTTTTTGATACAGTATCATTTAAAACTTTGAGGTAAGAAATATTTAAAAATAAAGCTCTGCTTTATTCAGCTCTGATCAAAAATTACAGTAAAGACATTTATAATGTTACAACATTTATATTTCAAATAACTACTGTTCTTTTAAATTTTATTACAGAAATTATTAAGCAGCAAAAACTGTTTTCAACATTGTTAATAATAAGAACCATTGTTAAAAGGTAATGGAGTATCAATATAAATAATGCAAAATAAAGTAGTGCAGTTATATTTATATCAAATAATGCAAATATAATTTAATTTTAGATAATAATAATAGTAATATAAAAATCAAGTAATTTAAATATTTTTGTTTGAAGTGTAAAATACACGTTTAATCATGTTCTGTTACCTGAGAACAGTGGGGTAAAGCTCCGAGCTGTATAATACAATTGTAGAAAAAGCAGCAACCGCGAAACCTTTACCCAGTACTGCCACCACAGTACGACCAATCCACTGATCTGAGTGTGAAAGAGATGATATTGAGCACAGTGTGTGTGACTGAATAAACAAATAAAAACCCTCTAGTAGTTTCCCCAATGAGTTCAAGTTGTCCAGCGCTTATGCCGTTTCTACAGTGTTTGTTGAACAATTACAGTGTTTTCGTAGGCTATACAGTTATCCAATCGACTGAGCGGCGTACCATGTTTGGGATTTTTCAGTAACTGTCATTTAATCACATGTACATACTTGTACAACCGACTGTTGAAATTGCTGATTTATTCAGGAACGAAACAAGGTAATGTCCTTATGAGTGAGGTTCATTTAAAAACGCTGATTCGTCGGCACCGACCGATAGCCTCATGGGCAGCGCGCCGACATATAGCGGGTGACCTGAGTTCGAATCTCGGCTCGTGGACCTTTCCCGATCCTGTACCCCGTCTCTCTCCCACCTCCCTTCCTGTCCACTCTACACTATCCTGTCACAATAAAGACAAAAATCACCCCCCCCCCCCCCCCCCCCCCAAAAAAAAATCTTTAAAAACGCTAATTCATTCAGGAACAAAACACCACTACTTTGCTCGTGCGCAACATTTTACTTTGGCTTAATTTGTTTGGAACGGTTTTCGTTGGCGGAGCAAAAAAAACAAGGTAACTGTCAATATGGTGTCTAAAATGTAGGCCTAATGCATCTTAACGTCTTGTTTATTCATCTGTTAAAATAAATCGTGTTGTTTTAGATATGCGAGAACAACAGGTCTCTTGCTCGTGTGATAATGTGCAATGGGTTGGTTTTGCTAGTCTCACCTTTGGGTATGAATATGTTGATCATAAGACTGATTCCAGCCAATAGATGAGCTCCTGCTTCAGTTTTACGTCTGCCGATCTTCTCCAGCAGGTAATATACGATCAGTTTAGATGGAACCTCAATGGCCCCATACACAAACTGAGTGAGGTACATATTTAGTCCAAAGCCTGTGATGTTGAGGCTTATACCATAGGTTATAGTGGCGACACAAAACCTGCAAGACGTGAAATGTCATTTAATTATAATTTATTATTCAAACAATAAAGTCTGTACTGTCCATGTTCTCTAATCTAGTGCGGCTGAAGGCGAAGTAAAAATCAGGATTTTGTAAAAGTTTTTTTTTTTTTTTTTTTTTTTTTTACAGTGAAATGGATTTTAAACAACTAGTGCAATGCCCGTGCAAAATCTGTTTTTAGTAATTGTTGGTTTGGTATGTTTGAGTTGCTGAATAGCCTAGGCTACTATTACACTACTATAATACTGCTACTATTAGAAGCCTAAACTCTGAGAAAACGATAACGTTAAGCGCACCAGAATAAATATAATATTCAGAAGTAAACCAGTTTGTGAATAGGATACTACAAATGATGGCTGTGAATAAAATGCAATATTCAGATATTTTTAAACTACAACCCTCTAATGTCAGAATGTTTATTTTTAAACGACAACCTTCTAAACATCATCTAAACATCTTCAATGTGTGCTTCTTTTACCGAGATATGCGAATGACAGACACACAGACAGACGTTCCTGTAATTTATAGATAGATGTATGTGTGTCTGTGTATATATTATATTTATATAGGTATACTGTATATTATACGCGCGTGTGTGTACTGTATTTTTTTAATCGCGATTAATCGATTTGACAGTATGTATGTGCAAAATCAGTTTTTGTGTGTTTTTTGTAATTGTTGGTTTGGTTTGTTTGAGTGCTCATTGTTACAATTATACAGCAAAGGTTCAGTGACATTTTTATTTGTGCATGGTTGAAAGCAAATACTGATACTGACATAATGACATACAATAAATATGGAAAATTGAACTACATGTATATTCATGTATACATGTATATTCTTTTCAAAAAAGAATCACTACTTTTTCGAAAGTGAATCGCTACTTTTTCTCGAAAGTGAATCGCTACTTTGTCAAAAGTGAATCGCTACATTTTCAAAATAGAATCAATACGTTTTCAAAAATGAATCGATACTTTTTGAAAAATGAATCGCTACTTTTTCAAAAGTGAATCGCTACATTTTTTTAAAAATCACTACTTTTTAAAAAGTGAATTGATACTTTTTCAAAAAAGAATCGATACTTTTCTAAAAATGAATCAATACTTTTTCAAGTCAATCGATACTTTTTCAAAAAAGAATCGCTACTTTTTCAAAATGAATATTTTTTCAAAAAAAGAATCACTACTTTTTCAAAAGTGAATCATATAATAACACTAATAAATGTATAATAACATGTAATAAACGTATAATTACACTGTAATAAATGTATAATAACATTGTAATAAATGTATAATAACACTAATAAATGTTAAATAACATGTAATAAATGTGTAATTACATTGTAATAAATGTATAATTACATTGTAATAAATGTATAATAACACTAATAAATGTATAATAACATGTAATAAACATATAATTACATTGTACTAAATGTATTGTACAATACACATTGTACACTGTAATAAATGTGTAATTACATTGTAATATTTTATAATAACACTGTAATAAATGGCAGACTTTCTGTGAACAACCTGGTTGTTAATCGATGGCATATGCTTTCACTGAAGTCATCAACCCGCTTTATTTTAAAGGGGTCATATAATGGTGCATGCACTTTTACAAGTTGATTGTACTGAAATGTGTGTTGGCAGTGTCTGTACACAACCATCATATAATGATAAAAATCCATCCAGTGGTTATGTTTTAATCTCCTTATATGTTTTCCCCTGCCTCAAATCGAGCCGTTCGACCGTGTGACGTCACACGCTCGGAAGCCCCTCCCACGATTGTTGATTGACAGGAGCGTCTCAACACAGACCCGCCCTCGCGGGCGAGATCAGCTCCATGAGAGAGCTGTCAATCATAGTCTGCGCGGACCGGCGCGGTCATTGTTGATATGCTGGAGCACTGTCTGCAGAATGGCGTCTAAGCGATTGTGGTGTTCTGTTCTTGGGTGTAATAACGAACACAGCAGTCATTTTAATGTTCCTAAATCCGAACCGCTGAAGACGCAGTGGCTGTGTTTGTTTTCGAAGGGAATATTCCCCACGAGCAACGTCAATGCGTTCATGTTTGCGCGAATCATTTCTCACCAGACTGCTTTATAGAC